ATGCTATGCAAACGGAAAAAATAAAGAACACACAAAAAGGAAAATAAATTAGTTTACATAATAAAGAAATTTAATAATAACATTTACATAAATATTTTTTATTTAAACATGCCTTTCTAAATTTAAATAATTTAAATATACATGTAATTTAATCAGTAAAGAAAATAAATAAACTAGAAAGTTAGAATTCATTTCTCCTGTGTGTACACAAAATTTCGGCATGACTTCGGATCGGCAGAGTTTCTAAGGTTTTTTATATGCAGGGTTTCAGATCTAAGAATAAAGGTACCCGAATTGTCCTTGTTAGTGCCCCCTTGGGTTGCTAACCCTCAATCCTAGTCCATCACAGACTAAAATGGATCGAGTTCAATTCGAGGGGATACATTTCTCTATGCCTGACACGGAGAATAAATTCTCACGAAAACATAGAGTCTATGAACCCCGAAAGTTACTTGCTAGGTCTGACACGGAGAATAAATTCTCACGAAGACGTCGCTTTCACTCCCACTTAAAAGGGACAACTCAATTATAGAGCTTTATGTTATGCAATGCAAGTGTTGTGTGTGAGGAGAAATGTTCAAACCTTTGACAGAAAAATAAATAATGAAATAAAATACTTGCAAATAAAATAAAACATATAAATATTATGAAAATAATAAGTAAATATAAAAATTTTGAAAAGAAAGAATTAAAAATTAAATATATGAACTTTTAATTTTTAATTAATAGAGACAATTTATAATTGATTTTTAAAAGTTTGACCAGTCCCCAGCGGAGTCGCCAAGCTGTCGTAACCGGTTTTTGTCCGGGCACGAAATATTATACTTGGCAGGGAAATTGATGTGAATAAATAATTTTGAAAATAATTTGGGAGTCGCCATCGGCCTTTTGGATCAAGTAGGTCGAATACCTAAAGATTATTTTCTTTAAAAGAGTTTTAAGAAAATATCAAAAAAAAAATAACTGATCTGCGTTTATAACCAAAAATTCGTTTTTTTTTAATAATAAAAAGGGATTCGTGGTCGGTTACGTTTAGGGAAGGATTAGCACCCCTACAACGCCCAAAATTGGTACTTTTTAATTATAAATTGTCTCTATTATTAAAATTTAAAAATTCAAAAATATATTTAATTTATAATCCTATTATTTCAAAATTATATAAAAAAATATTTATTTATTTAAAAATATCAGAAAAGAACTTCTAGGTGCCTTAAGACAGCTCTTTTCTTTGATATTGATAAATATTAATTTAAATAATATTGTTTAATTTTTAATTTTAAAATATCAGAATAGGACATCCAGTTGTATTAAGACTGTCCTTTTCTTCGATATTAAATATTAAAAAATTTAATTACTATTTATTATATATATATTTAGGAATACATAAAAATATTTAAAATATAAACAAGTAAAATTGAAATAAAAATACCATTAGAGTTATATATTTAAACACAATAAAATGCTAAAAATATTTAAAATAAATGACTAAATTATAGTAAAAGTAAAATTAAAAACCTAATTCATAATTAATCAAAATATTAGGGATTAAACATGCTATTTCTTTATTTTATCTATTTTAGTGACTAAAATAAAATTATCTAAAATTCGGATATTATAATAAAATAAATTAAAAATATAAACTAGGGATTAAAATATTATTTATTAAAATTAAGGGATTAATTCTGCTATTTATCCTAAATATATTATTATTTTAATCAAAAGGACTAAAATAAATAAAATTAAAATTTCGAGATCAAATTAAAAGTATTATGAATTCGATTTAATGACTAAAATATAAAGTTTACAAGTTCGGAGGACGGCGGAAAGGATTTAACTATTTTTTAATTACGCGCATAGTCCTTCCCGAAACGACGTCGTTCGGGAAGGCTTATATAAGGTCCAAAACCGGCTGGCCCGAAGGGCCAGCTTCATTTCTTTATTTTTCCTCTCTCTCTCTTCTCTGAGAGAGAGAATTTTTCTCTCGCTTCTCTCTAAAACAGAGAGAAGCCAGCCGGCCGGCCACCGTCAACCGGTATTCTTCTACCGCCGGCCACCGTCAAGTCCGCCGCCGGCCACCACATCCGGTGGCCGGAATATTTTTTTTTACATTGAAATGTAGATCGGACCGTCCTAATAACGGTTTCGATAATCTTTTCTTTTAAACGGATCCCAATCGGAGCAAATCTAAAAAAATACCTTCGGTTTGTCGAAGGTTTTGGTGAGATCCGGTGGTCGGCTTCCTCGGTAAGTTTTTCTTCTTCCTTTTTCTTTCTTTTCTGTTTTTTTTTCTGCGTTGTTGTTGAGATCGTTGGTAGCTTTTTTTATTTTGTTTCTCTGTATTTCTCTTCTCTCCGTTTCTGTCTCTCTTTTTTGTCTCTGTCTCCGTTTTTTTTTTTTTTTTTGTAGGTTCGGGTGGTGGCTTTTATAGCCACCACCGGTGTGGCCATCGGATCGGTCCGAAGAGGGGGTTTCGGTGAGTCACCGGACTACCAGTGGTGACTCACCCCTTAGCCATGGCGTGGACGGCTGGCGTTGGAGCTTCTGGAGCCTTCGTTTGGGACGTGGCAGCGGCGGAGGCGGCTGGAGCAGCAGCGGCGGCCGTGTGGCCCTAGGGTATCATACCCTAGGGTTTCCATCTGGAGGCTCTTGGACCGTTGGATCATACCAGATCCAACGGTCAGTCTGAGGCGGCTGGCTAGAGGCGGCTGAGTATGGGATTAGGGTTAGGAAACCCTAACTGAAACCCTAAATGTTTTGGATTTTAGTTTGGTTTGGGTTTTGGGCCGGTTGATTGGGCTTTGTAATTTAATATTATTTATATATGTATTTAATATATATTTAATAATAATAATAATAATAATAATAATAATAATGATGATAATAATAATAATAATAATAATTATTATAATAACAATAATAATAATATTTATAATATGGGTAAAAAATTAGTATCTTCAATCGAAGAAGAGAAGGTTTTGTTGAAATGAAGTATTGGAAGTAGTAATATTTCCATTTTCCCATAAAACAAAGTCTCTTTTCAAACTCTTTTATTAAAATAAAACAATAATTGTTAGCGAAAATAATTTCAGTTTCTTTGTTTGTTAGTTTACGTTACAAATTTATGGCGTTACAAAATCTGAACTCTAACCGACGACAACTCTCACCGCTCACACTGTCACCTTGTTAGCATAATTTCAGTTTATTGGTAGTGAGGAAGTTCTCTAATCTCCCTAATTCTGATTTAACTTTACATTAAAAATTATAATAATTTAAATTCAGTTATTTTTATATGATATTTAAATATTATAAAATAATTCAAATTTAATTTAATTAAAAAATATTGAGATATTTTAGATAAAAATATTATAATTTGTCAATTGATTATAATTAGAAAATTAATTAGCCAGACTTCTTAAAAATATATATAAATTTTGGGTGGTCCACAAGTTTACTATGTTCTTACCTAACAAAATAAACGGACAATACCCAAGATTGGTTCAAATTAACTGTAGCAACTCAGCTATCAATTTTTTTTTTTTTGCTTCGAAATGTGAACAGTTGAAGTCCTTGTGGTGGTCTAAATGTATCAGATTCGTTTTTAGTTAGGTAAAATTGAATATGTTTAAATTTGATATATATCTAACATTAAGATTAAAGTCTGATTTGAAAGTTAATTACATGTGGGAAAGGTTAAAACACCTATATCTTAAAGAAATTATGTTGTCTCAAGGATCGGTCCTTCTAGCAAATTGCAGTGCCTCAATGCTCAGCCAAACGTGAAAAAGTTTTCTTTCTCTTCGGATAAGGCTGCTACGATTCAGGATTTGCCAGTAAATTCCTTTTCTTCTCTTGGTCTCGTTTGGCGGGAAATTCCCTTAAAGAGCGATAAGGTGGCTTGGGAGAGATTAGTGCGGCATTCGGTGCACTTTAAATTCGAGTTAAACTTTAACATCTTAGAATTGTCATTGCTTGGATGGTCGTATTGGATAGATTGTCAACCAAAGAGCAGGCTCATTGAATTCAGTTTGTGCGTGGATGACCTTTGTAATCTCTACTCGAAGGATTTAGAAACTCGGGACCATTTACTTTTTCAATGTGATTTTCTAGAGTTGTATGAGAAAGTATTTTGAAAGATTGTTTGTTGGGTAGGAATGCTATGAATTGGTATTTGGAATTGGCCTGGTTTAATTACATATTGCGAAGGAGATCACTGTTGTCGCTCCTACTCAAACTGGTGTGAAACGACTGTATTACCATGATTTGGAGGGGGGAAATCAGAGATAGTTTCAACAGCTCGATCGATCTACTGTTGATATTGTGGTGGCTTGATTTGAGGGATAAGAATGTTAATAGGGAGGGGAATGTTAATGGCCCCTTTGTGTCAGTTGGGAGATTGATGTTTAGGAATGGTTGAACTTTGTTTCTTGGCTTGTTGTGCCTGTTTTTATATGTGATCTTGTTTCTGGAGTTTTGGTGCAATACATCTATATTTATATATAAAAATTGAATAAATATATGAAAACGTTGAACTTCTCTCTAAAATACGATTGTTGTTCGGTATCTGCTCACCCGTCGCCATCTAGTTTCGTCATCGGTGATCGTTCGATCTCAAATTTTACTGGTTGACTCCTCGTGAATCCCCTAGTCTAAATCCAAAGTTGATTTCGTCGGAAAACAAATTTAGACCGAAACTGTTTGGCTTCCTTTCCTCCAATCTTCGATTTCAATTGTTGGATCGACCTCGTTTTGGAATATGTGGCTTTTTGCACCGTTTGTCCTCCTCCTACCGTTCAGATTGATGAACGGAGTCTTCAAGCATCGTTTGTCACGTCGACATATTTAAAACCACTGAAAAAGTTATCATATCTCCGTCATGACTCATGACGTCCGCTATCTATATAATGGTTCATTTTTGTTGTTTTTAAATAAGGATTCGTTTGAGACATCATTTTCATTTAAAATTTAAAATTTAATTTGATTATCACCTAATTCACTATGGACCAATAAACCTACAAATTATGGAAGCCAATTATAATTTGCACAGAAGGCAGGACAATTTTTTATTCAATTTTGTTGATGTTCTTGATTAAACAGAAATTAATCAAGAACTTGTATCGGATGGTGTGAAGCCATTAATTAGAAGTTGCTGTTGTTGTTTGCCAATTTAGAAGTGAGGCATGCGTCCACAGCTTCAGCAACAGTGAGGAAAATCCAACCGGCTCCAATTTTCTCCACAAGTTTTGACAGCTTTAGCTTGTGGATCACTTGCCACCTCAGATTCACAATTGCCAGCTGCAAACAAAAAAATTTATATAATTACAGGGATAGTTATAAAGATCACAATGTCGAACGTTGTTATAATAAGCTTACTTTTATGCCTTGTGAAACCAGATTGTTGTGCAGTTCTTCGAGTGCCAGAATTCCAGAAGTGTCAATGTTCAGCACATCTGTTGCAAAGGAGAATCACTTACACTCTAAAATTGTCCCCCTTTTTTCGCAAACTGTAAGATGATTATTTAAACTCACTGCTCAGGTCGAGGATTAAGATTTGAACTCCGTCTTTTGCAGTGTCTTCTGTTTCATTCTCATCTTCCGTCACTAATCTGGTTATTCTGAAACAATGAAATGTAGTGTTATGTTTGTAAGTCGAATGGAACCAGTAACCTTTTTTAAAACTATTTTGTGATGGGGAGAGGTATCCTGAGAAAAGTAATAGGAGTAGTTACATACATACATACCTTTCTCTGAGAAAATTGGCATTGGCGAAGCATAGTAAGCTAGAGTTGATGCGAAGTGTCAATAATCCTGGAGTTTTACTGGCCATGGGATATTGATCTACTTCACAAAAAATATCTGTCCTTGGAAGTCTTCCAAGTTGTTCAACGGCTGGTCGAATGGAAAGCAGCAATAACTTGAGAAAAGAGATAGTTACCTGCAATTTTAGAAAATTTCTCAATTAGGAATCAATTTTGATTCTTCTCCCAATTTGATCACCTTTTTTATCTCCACATGGTCCATCGTCCTCTTCTTTTGTTATTGCAATCTACATTAGCCTACAAGCAAGTTGGGTTTGGATGCGATTGTGATCTACCAATAGTTGCAACAAGTGGACAATAGGCTAGTATACCCTGGGGTCCATAGATCTCTGAGAAAACAATAATTATTGGTTCCAACAGGGGTGTGAGGTTTTGACTTTCTGTGCATATAATTTTATGGAGGATGAAGTGAAACATCAAGCTCAATTATACGAGATGGAACCACAAGTCACACTTAGTTTTAATTTCTTTCAATCAGAACATTGAGCAGTTGAAATACAGGTCATAAGCGGTCTGGTTTGTGCTCATTTAATAACAATGGTGAAAAAGATGATAAGGAATTACCGCAACTAGAAGACCAATCTCCACCGATTTGAACAAGACTCCGAGGAAGGCACCCAAACAAGCTAGGAAATCTAGTTTGTCAACCTTCCAGACATTGTAAGCTTCATTGATGTCAATAAGTCCAGGAAGTGCAGACAAGATGATGGAAGCAAGGATGGCGACGGGGGTGTAATAAAGTAGCCTGGTAAACAACACTAATGACAAAAGCACTGTAATGGCCATCACTATATTTGACACAACGGTTCGGCATCCTGCGCTGAAATTTACTGCAGTCCTTGAAAATGAACCTGCCAATACATTTTAAATAATTAAAAAAAAACAATTTATATGTGCATGTGATGAGAAAATGTAAGTTTAATTTATGGGATTCAGTTAATTACCAGTTGCTACATAGCAAGAAGTAAGGGATCCTGCAAGGTTCATGAAACCCATGGCCACCATTTCCTTGTTACCGTCTAAATGGTATCCTTTGATTGAAGCAAATGATCGGCCAACTGCTATGGCTTCCTGAGATTAATATGGTTTCATGGAGTTGCCTTAAACAAGGTAAACTTAATATATATATATATATATATGAGGATGGATAGTAATTACGCACGGTGAGGGCAACAACTGCAGAAATCAACCCGATTTTGGCTGCTTCTGCAACATGTGGGCTGTTGAATTGTAATTGATGGACTGAGCTTGGATTGAGGCCTCCTTTTATGTGTTTTACTATCTTCACCCCGTGCTTGTCAGCTTTTGTTAAATATACAATCAGGGTGGATAATATGACCGACAAAAGTGGAGCTATTGCCGGGAACCAGAATAATTTTTTGCTTCGTCTTCCCTGAAACCAGTTTTGAGATTTAATAAAAACGAAAGTTATTACTTTATAATGGGAAAAAGAACCCCAGAATTTGATTACTTACAATGAACCTGGCGACTAGTAGGAATACCAGGAAGGAGCAACCCAGGATGAAATTCAGAGGGTACCACTGTTTAAAAAAATAGAAAATGAAAGCAGAAGATTTTAGTAATTATATACTGAAATGATGGCAGCAGAGTTGATTTCCTTGGGAACTTACTTCATGTGGAACTGATTTGGAAACCGAGGTCAAAACTGATACGACATCAGTCTTGGTGGTGAAGTGACTCAGTCCAAATAGTCCCTTCAGTTGTTGAAGGCCTATGACAATGGCTGCACCCGCCATGAATCCAACAATTGCAGCATGTGAAAGAAAATCCACCAGGAACCCCAATCTGCGAAATTACAATTTTCTTTTAGATAAGAACATGTATATTATTGGCCATTCAAATGAAAAAGATGAAAAATGTTTCACCACCTAAACAGTCCAAATATGGCTTGGAAAGTTCCGGTAAAGAATGTCACAGTGAACACTAGCCTCGTGTACCCAATGGGGTCAACTGTAGGATCCACCAGGCTGGGAACCATGGCAGACAGCAGCATCGAAACCACCGCTACTGGTCCAATAGCTATCTCTCTTGAGCTCCCCATCAGCGCATAAATAAGAGGTGGGACAACGCTTGTGTCTGGATTAAACAAACCCCAAAACACTATTAACTGAAGAACAAGCTGATAACATTTTTTTCTAGAAAACGTCGAGCATTCAGCAACTTACATAGGCCATATTGAGGATCAAGTTTTGCTATATTAGCATATCCAATACTCTGCAGACAAAATAAAAGGATACAGTGAGTCATGAAAAAACAGAGTAACAGAGAGAATCATAACAGACAATTATGCACCTGAGGAATGCTAAGGCTTGCAAGTGTTAAACCCGCCATTAAATCATGTTTAAACATGGAAGCCTTGTAAGTCCTTCCCCAGCTGAGGATTGGAAACAAACCCTGGAAGAAGGACATGGCACGTTTCCCCATGGTGGTCGATGAGGAAAGCTTTCGTCCATGACTGGAGAAACTTCCTTTGATTGTACCAACAAGTTCCTGCCAAAAACTAGGAGGCTCAGGTGAATTAATCAACCACTGGGCTCTCTCGTTTCGACTGTTATCCTCCAGGTCTAGCTGCGGCGGCGGCTGAGCCACCGTAGTGTTAGGCATAGAACCCATGATTGTTTGAACCGTTTGATTGAATTCACTCTGAGCTAACTATTGTATCACATCGTCCAAGCTGGTGATATATATAAACACCCTCATAACCAGAATCTTCTGAAAACAAGTATAGTTTGTGAAAAAAAAATTCAATCGAAAAATATTATTAACATTGTATGTCCAATAAATATAGGCGCCGATAATGTTCCGCCTATATCCACGTAAAATTTATTTTATTTTCACTTTTATGTAAATTTATATAAAATACAAAATCAATTGATTTCTCAAATTACTTAAACTAAATATTATAATACTTAACCTTGGCTCGTTTGATAGCTAAACTTGATAATGTTTAACTTGAATTTGATTTTCATCAATAGATCTGCTTTATAGGATTTAAACATATTATATGTTTTCATTTTTTAAATAATCTGGAGTATAGGATTTAAACATATCTTATATGTTTTTATTTCAATTATATGGAATAATTACAAAATAATATATATTTAGAACATTATTGATAATACATACACCCTATAAACGTATTTGTTTGAATCCGAAATATTTAAAAAAACTCTTTTTTTTCATTGATATTTTCAAATAGATTTCTCTCTGTCTTAATTGAAATATTATTATAAAAAAATCTTTTTAGGGTCTCAATAAACCATTGTATGTTTTACAGTTTTATCCAAATTCATTTGGTGTAACAATCACGGGCCGATGCAGGTGGCCGTCAGAGCCTAGGTTGAGTCGAATTTTTCTAGATAGACCGATCGGTCGACAGTCAAAATATGTCTGGTCAGTACATGCCCCTAGACTACAACCGTACTTCTCTAAGTCGAAACTCCAAGGTCGAGTCCCTCTCTGTAATGAGCTAACTTAAGTTTTCTATCTGTTAGGGCTCGACCTATGCATAAAGGAATACCAGTAACGTTTGTCCAAATTCTGTAAAGTGCCTCACGAGTAATGTGAGAGTTACTCATCCGAGAAATTCTGACCCAACTCCAGAAATGAAATTGGGATATGTTAATGCTCTATGAACCTAACCTCGCAGCCAAGGTCGAATTGATTCCCCAAGGATAATTCTGTTCAAATTCATTTATTGGGATGAGGGAGAGTTCTGATGAGAATGTATACTCAGTTGGTTAAGGATTAGTAAATGACTAATACTTATGTAAAATCTACATGAAGATAATGAAGAATTTTTGAAAGTTTCGCTTATGCATTTCTGTGACTTGAGTGAATTTCGAGGACGAAATTCTTTTTAGGAGGGGAGAATTGTAACAACCCATTTTAGGGCTAAATTTTATTAGTTTTAAAGTATCGAATTAAAGTAGTAACAAGGGAAAACTTGGGGACCAAATTATAAATTTCCAAAAGTTATATCTCGATTTTGAAATATGTGGAAAGTTCAGGGTCTTGAATTGACATTTTACCATTTTTATTACTCAGTGAAAAATAAACCCCCAGTTGAGAACCCCAAAATTATCAACCCCCAAATTCCTCCCCGTCGGCCCATCTTTACCGCATCGATCCACTGTCGTCCAGTCACCATTCATCGCTCCGACACCGCCAATAGACTCGTTGTCGACTTGCGACCAAAACTCAACCCCTATCCTGTTGTGAATCGGTGTCGTTCACTGTAAAAATCACCATGAATTTTCATCGAATTTAAACCCCCGCCGCCACGAATTTCATCGATTCTGGCCGCCTCCGTCGTTATCTCGCCTCAGCACTGTTACCAATGCGTTCACCTACCAGTTTCGATCAAAACCTGACCTGTGAGTCACCGCACCGTCTTCGTTCTTGCCGTTCGCCGTGGATAAGCTCTGATTTTTGTGTTTTCGATGATTTTGGAAAATTTTATTATGATTGTTGGGTTGTTATTGGTTAATTCGAATATGTTGATGAACAGAGAGTAATTGGCCAGCAACTCTGAGCCTGTCGTCGCCATCACACACCACTACGCACCGCCACCCGCGCATAGGGATTGTTTTGGTCCAAGGAGTTTTCCAAAACCGGGTCAACCTGACCCAACTCGACTCGAACTGACTGGTTCGGTCCAGTCACTGAGTCAACTTATTGAGTCAACTCGTTGACTTTGACCTAGTTAAACCTTTGACCGATATGACCGTTGACTTTGATCGGTCTAACCGTTGGCCGTTGACTTTGACCGAAAATGTCAAATTTTCTGAAAAGCCTAATTTTATGTTTTTCTACGTCTTGAGTCTGAATCTGAAGTCCGTTTTTCCAAATTTGCACCCGGTAAGTCGTTTTTCAATATTTTATCTTCATATTCAAGTTAGTTTTTATTTAAGTTCAATTTCTAACGTAAATTCGGTTGCTTTGTATCTGAGGAATTACTGGACGTTGAATTCAAGTTCGAGAGTGATCGAATGGAGTTTAAATGTTTAATCGGTGAGATACGAAAATCGAGGTAATACATTACTACCTAATGCATGCTTTAAAGAATATGTTGGAATTGGTAGATACACGGATGAATATGATTGATCTCATCTATATATTAAATTATTTCTAAACTCGATCTGAATACGATAAAAAGTTGGTAATCTATTATAACTTAGATGACTCGTATAAGAAATTGGGGGACTGATAGGAAATTTAAGTGCAAGTTATGTTATTAAGTGGTAAATCAATCAACCCTAGGATTTTTAAATCCTGATTTACCTCATTAAAGGTTAAATAACAAAGGTACTTGGATAAGAAATTATGAAAATAATTCGTTTGGGTAAAATTACGAAAAAACCCTTATGGTATAAAATTATAAAAACACCCCTGAGTTATAAAAATGGTATGTATTGATCTTGATAGTGGAATTACCCCGAGAATATGTATTTCGACTCGATAAAATTTACGACACACCTGTTAACTTCTAATTTATCTGGAAAATATATTTTAATCAGTTTCAAACCTCAAAGAAAGCATAAGGCCTATAAAATTCGATTCTTTATTAAACACTTGAAGCCTAAGTTATCAGAAGTAATACCACTGACAGAATTGAATGAAATGACGATAATACCCTTAAAGTGTAAAAATGAATATGGATGACTATGATAAGGGATACGACCTAAGAACTTATATTATGATCATGTTGAACTGAATGAAAGTAATATATGTATTCGAATTTGCAGAAACGACTGAATTACTCTGGAAACTCCGAAGTGATCGGGATATACTTAACTTATAAATGACCTAAGTAACCTTAAAGACCTAGAATTAAAGGAATGACTTGGATAAGTCTAGAAACACTAATGAACCTATATGTTGTACCGTCCATAAGGTTTTGAATCACGAATCAAGCATGTCGATATTTCCTGATATCGTTACAATGCAGAAGTGAAATAAAGATCATTGGAATATATCTTAGTATCCCTAAGATCCATTCAGTGATGATTCTGAAGATGATCAATTCGACAAGAGTTGTATGTATTAAAGAGTAAATACCCTTGAAGTGCAATGATTTGACCAATTGACAAGTATTAGTTCTGGGATTTGTTCAGTTCGAGTTAACTCGATATCCCGATAGGTCGACACAATTCTTAAATGCCATGAATCTTCGTTTCTCTCTTATTAGTTCAAATCACTAAGAATTCTCCAAGAACCTAAGCCCTAAATGCCTTTGATTTTCTGGATAATGGAATTTCTCCTGTCATATCTGAAAACACGAGTAACTATGATGCAAAGGATTCTGAACACATGTCTGATTACATAGTGCCTCCAAAAAATATCTGAATATTATATGATCTTGATAAATCATGTTCTGAATAACTGATGATTATGTCAGCTAATGAACCCTTTCGGTAGTGATTCTAATTTTTGGCATTCTATCGGTATACTGAAGATTCGTGTTTCCCTTCCCGATAAGATTATTGATTACCTCCAAATAATATCTGGAACCTCTAATGTGTTCCCTGATCATCATGGATATTTTCTCTTCTTTTAAAAGCATGACTATGTTATATGGAATACAGTCTGATCTCTGTTTTCTGTTCTGATCTATGTTTATATTAATGACATCTCTATTTACTAACTGAAATTATTTTTATATGAGGTACTCTGGGACCTGGTATGACTGAAGACATTGGAAGGTTCAGTCGATTTTGGTAATTCCTTGTATAGGTTCTGTAACACCCCCAACCTGTACCCGACCCGGATACGAGTCTGAGGTGTCACATTGACTTTTCAAACATTTTTCTTTTACATAATAAATAAAAGTCAAATTCACAATTCAATAAAATGATTACTTTTCATTCATTTAAAATCAATTGGTTTACACAACATATCAGAGCTTATACAAATTTGCATCTTTAGACTATATGAAAACTACACTCTATATAACAAAATACATATACTCAACTACACTTCTGATCTCATCTGTGGAAGGGAGAATCTAACCTGTCTTGCTCCTCTTCGTTTCTCTTCTCGCTTTTCGGAACCTACGTGTGAAACACTCACACGCTAAGTCTATGACTTAGTGAGATATATAAACATGTATAATATGAACTCGATATACTCAATAATGCATGAACATTTCACAATTCAAATCAAAATATAATACAAACATCATATGCAAGTTCATATAACCAAATATATATACTTGTACACATATAATCATTATTCTAGTCACATTATTGTCATTTTTACTATTATTAATCCATTTAGAATATATAATTTGATATAAATCTTTGAAACACTTCATAATATACCTTTCACAAACAAAGCGTATAACATCATACAAAATTTCTTTATGTTACTTCTTTGTTTAGCCATGTACACTTTTGAGAACTAAATATATGTGAGTACATAGAGGTTGTGCACTATGCTGTCACCACAGCTCGTAAATAATCCACTAAGTGGCATATGAAATCTGTGTCCTGAAGGACCTATCCATATGTTCCGAAGAACATAGGTAACTGTCCATATGTCCCGAAGGACATAAGTAAACTATACATATATCTGGAAAGACATAGGTAACCCTCGACTCTTAGCATGCCAACTATACCTCTAGCTCTCATAACACATAACATGGGCATTATCACTTATGTCATTTCAC